CTTTGTTTGGTCTTGAGCACTGCAAAAGCTCTGAAGGCCATTCGCAATTCGTGGAAATTCCGCCATTCACATTATCCCTCACGCAATTGTTTTTCTTAATATTGTTTATATATTTTGCCCACTGTTTATTGGGTTGTCAACTTAAACAGGGGAGCCGGGAGCTATAAATGTTTCTTTGCTGGGGAAATAATTTGCGGTTAAGTTAAATTTCCGCTGAACCGACAATGTGGCCATTCAGTTCAAGTTGAATGCACAGAAAGTGAATCCAATTCAGCTTAAATCATGGCCCGCACCCAATATATTGCGTATACGCCACCGCAGCGATAAAAAAGAAAATCTATCGAACGAACGAACGACAACCGGTCAAATTTGAACAGGAAGGAAGTAACTCATTGGGTTTAACATACAATTTATATCGTCAACTGGCAAATGGCAGATGAAAGAAGTGATGAGATAACACGGGAATGCAATAAGTCAACAATTAAAATAAATTCATTACTGTCACAGGAATTCGTGTCCTGTGGACCCGCATAAATAAATTTATTAAGCGCCTGGCTCCCGAGTGCCACTTCCTGCCATTATGGCGTTCGGGTTTTTTTCTATCTTTTTATATCATCATCCAGCCAAAGTCCGAGGCCAAAAACACACATGTGCTTTTAATTTTTCACTCACTTTTCATGGGTTTTTCTCGGCTCTTTTTTTTGTTAATTGACGTGGGGCAATTGCCAGAGCGGGCAGGCAAAAATAAATAAGTGTACTGTGAAAATGTGTTGGGAAAAGTTTTCAGAGTGTAACGTAAAGTGCGATAACAGGCCGCTGCGCATTGGGAAATGCTAGAAAATACCCGAAACCGAACCCGAACATCGAACTGCAAACAGCCACCAAAGAGTCCACTCCACTTCCTCGACTTCCTGCTGCCGTTGCTCGTTAGTTGCGCAATGAACTTCAACTTCAAAAAATTCAAACTGCAAAAGTTTCGCTGTGCCGGCGACAAAAATACATATCTGCAATCCATATCGGAAATGAACTCGTTTTTGGCCGATTTCTATTATATTTTATTTTTATTTTTGTGTGTGTGTCTAGTTCGAGAGGAAAGTGCATGGCATAATTCAATTTGGTGCATTGTATGGGCAGAAATGGATATGGAACGCAAAGCCAAGCCAGCTGGCCAGGAAAAAGTGAAAGCCTGCCTGGCTTTGGGACCGATATTTGCCTAGCACTTCAGCAAGGGGCATCTCCATTTTTCACACTACCTCCCAAACTAACCAAAAAATATACAGCTGAGATTATGGCTATGATGCAATCGATTCGGCCGACAAATTGAGCAACAGCTGCTGCCGCGATCTCGTCCTGGTTGCCTGTTTCGAATGTTTATTTTCGAGGCGAGACGCATTTCGTGTGCTTTTTGCTGTCATGGCTGAAATTGCATTTTGCAAAGTGGTACGTCCACATTTTTCTCAGGTGCCGTGCCGCTTTAATTGTGCCCCGTTTGAAAATATTTTATTGAATGTGCAATGCAATTTCATTATTTATTCAGTCGGACATTCGGACACACACCGCGATTCCAGCTCGGACACACATGCATGAGCAAGCTGTCATTAAGCGTATTTCACCATTTTCACATTAACTTGACCCGGGAGTTTAGTTCAGTTTTGCCCGCTTGACTTGCCCTGACTTTTGGGCCATCCTCGCTCGATTGGCCAATCCTCCATGAGGCTGGATCACCAAGGTGCCACATCTATCGGAATGAAGCTATTTCCCGGGCGATTAATAACTATTAGGTTAATTAGTTCAAGTCGTTAGGAAAATGGCAGCTCATTTACTTTGCGCACACGCATTTTTCTTTTGGCACCTCGAAGTAATTAATGGCATTTTAGTTTGCGCTGATTTTTGGATCTCTTAGGTAGCTAATGTTAGAAAAGTTAAGACAGACACGCAACATAGGACAATTACCTTAAATCGGGGCTTAGGGTATATTTAAAAGAGGAAGTACTTTAGGACTAGACGCAATTAACAGCTTGTTTTTACAAGTTTTACAAAGTTGCCCACATAATAACTATTGCAGCACATTGTGAAAAGTCTTGACCTTTTCCAATAAATCACTTACTTTAACTCGACAGGTTTCATTGGTGAACGCCTGACTCAATGTTTACTAATAAGATGGAATTTAAGCGGTTAAGTTAAAATTAGCTACTTACGTAATTCAAGCTATGCTAAATAGAGTTTTAATTGTTTTTGCAGTAAAATAGTGCAGAGTACAAATTAAGACATAAAAAAGTTGTAAAAAATATTTATGAGCCGAAATTTACGAGTACCTAAGATATTTTTTCGTATACATTTTATAAAGAGGCCTACAAATATGCACGTAAATTTTTTTAAGCCCCAAAGTATGCCATAAGTTTCTTATAAACATTGCGCAATAATATGATATTACAAAGTAATGCATTGCCATGCAATTAATTGATTTCTTAGAAGCAAATAGTAATCATGATTTTATAGAATTGATATTTCTTAAGCACAAAAAAGTTTAATAAATGCTTGATGAAATAGTTAAGATTGCAAACACGTATGCCTACTTACATGCTACTTTTCCCCTTTATTGCATTTTTATTACGTTCTCGTATTTATTTTTTAATAAAAAGAATTTCTTATGAATCAATGATAAAACTGTAAATTCTGCGAAATCGCTATATATCAGTCATCTGCTAATAAAAGCCTAGGGGGCAATATGTGTAGATATGGCCAAGTCCGAACATATTGTTAAGATAAGTTCAAGGTTTTCTGGGGCAAACGACATCCAGTTTTGTCCATAAGTGCTTAACAAAAAATATTCATTCATTGCATGGGAGAACGACTGCGTCAGATGCCGGTTACATGGCAAATATTTGCAGTGTGCGATTTCAAGCTGCGGTTTTTTGTCCGGGGTTCTCGGAAATACCCATTGAGTCACCGTCTTTCCCAATCGTCTCTTTAGCACGCTTCAAGGCGGAGACTTGTTGGCTAATTTAAGCGATTTCGATCTCGATCTGTGTCTCCCATGACGCGTGCGCCGACGGAACTGACGTGTGCGGCACCCGTTCGGCATATCAAATGTATTAGATGGATTACTAGTAGTAGTGGTGCCGAGAGCAGGAGGGCTCATAAAGCTTTGACGCGGAGCTTTGAAGCCCGGCTTCACTTTTACTTTCAGCCGCACAGGTGTTAGCCGGCAAAAGCCCGACTTGGCCGACTGAAAGAAGCTCTACAAGTGGTGGGTTTAACCCTAAAAAAGTAGGTAGTGATGATGAATTTGATTTAAAACCTTTTTCAAAGATTTTGTGGTTCGGAAAAGTTATTCAAAAATTTTTTTAAATCCACTTCACCACTTAAAACACAACGGATCTTAGCTAAAAAAATTGTGTGTATGTCTTTAAATTGCATTGCTATGTATTTAAATGGGAAATATTTGTTTAAGCACAATTCTTAAAATGAAGCAAAGAAAAAATTAAATCGTACAGTTCTATATAAATAATTTAATTATCAAACAACAAAAAACTATTATTCCCTAATCTCATTTTGAATAAACAAATGCACAGATAAGAACAATTCATAAAGAAAATTTCAATTGAGAGGAAGCTTGAATATATTTTTTATTTATAGTAATAATTCATTCAAACAAATCGAGCACTAAGTGCACTATCATACATATGTATGACCTATGTATTTGCAGCGGAACCACTGATAAGGTTGGTTTGAAAAGCTGGCAGCTGGCAGCTAAGCATCTAAAACATTGTTGTGTGGTTGCTCAAACTTTTTAAAGACCTAAAATAACTCTAAAATTAAAACTGAGAGCGATTTGGCGTCTGCTTCCGTTTTAAAATTCCTAACGCAATATTTTTAATTTATATGTACATTAAAAGATTATTTTAAATTTATTGATAACAAAATCTCATTTTGTGCTTGTCAAAAGTCAAAAAATGTCGTAAAAAATAGGATTTTCTTTTTGATGTGTTTAAACAGAAATTGCACACAACTTAGTCAATTTTGTTGATTCCGATGGAAGGCGACTTTTAGGGTACATAACTTTTTTTTTGAAGTTCGATAAAAAATTAAATTTGAAACATTAAAAATTGTGTTTGGTTTTATCAATATTACTTTTTTATATTATTTCTTTGGTGTATAAAGATTATACAATTTTTATGTATTGTGAACAAATTTTTTATATTTAGTTTTCTCGTGCGAATATTAAATTTAAAATGGGCCGTGAAGTGTTTTGGTATTCAGAGCTTAAAGTCTACTTTAAATTTTATGGATGGACAAGAAAATTTCTCTTAACAATGCAATAATTTGTGTATTTTTTATTAATTGTATACTTTATTTCAGCTTTTTTATTTCAAATAATTAAAATATTATCTGCATTACCAAGTAGTTCACTCAATTTCAATATTTCAACTTTTTCTTCCAGTGTGAGATGATTCAGGCTGCTAAAGTTTGTGGACAAGCAGGCGCAATTAGTGGCGCAGCGGACCAGGCAAGTCAGCTGTGATAAAATCCGCTACCGCTTCTTCGTTCGTCCCGTTCCCTCGACCGACGGCAGTCTCTCTCCATCTCGAGCCGAACCCCCCTCCCTGCCCCCTTATCGCCCACTCTCTCAGCGCCCTCTCCCGCTCGCACACTCGCGAGCTTCGGTTAAAGCTGCACTTGTCAATTGTTTGGGGAGCTCGAAGAGTCGGGCTCTTGGGGCCCCTGGGTTCCACTTTTCAGTTGCCTCCCAGACGTGCGCTCTCGCTGTCGTGTGTTCTCGATCGCGAGAAATCGAAACAGAAATTGGATTTTAGTTAATTCCTCTGGATCTCCCCCGGGAGATATGGTGAAACTCTGCGATCCGACCGGAAAATCCCAGCGCGCGTCTCTGTAAAACTTAAGATCACTCCGGTGGCAGATGGTTTTAGGTTCCATAAAAGCGCAAGCGGCTCGCGATTTTCGTGTCACTCAAAGCCGGTCCACAGAACCGAAAAGTTCCAAAGACCAAGAGATCTCGGGATTACCAACTTGGATAAGCCACAAACCTCCTCCATTGTACTATTATAAACGGAATCAAAATCAAGGGCTTTCATCAAAAACGGTTCCCCACCAAAGCGGCGAGAGCGAAACTAAAGTGAAAAGCAAACCGACTAATTGAAGTGTCTGTCTGTGTCTCGCAAACGTGCAAAGGAAACAAACAAAACGGAATAGCCAACATATCACAAAAAGAGCCACCGCACAAAATATTTATAAATAAATAAATACATACCCACCGACGACAACTACGGCAACAGTAACAAACGGCTAACCAATATAAAAGCCCGGCATTAACATTTAGTCGTGCCAGTTTGTTTATTTTTTATATACGCAAAGCGCCATAAAAAAACACAGATCAACAATAACAACAGTAAAAACACGGCGAAATAGAAACAAAGTTGTAGCAATAAGAAAATCGGTATAAGCCGCCACCGATACGCCGATCTCCTGCTGTATTATAATCCCCGACGCAGACGGTCGCCGTCAATAGAATATTTCTAATTATATACCCACCACCTGATTAACATCAAGATGATGATGATGACACCTATGTGGATAGCGCTGCTCAAAGTCCTGGTGCTACTCATCTCCTTATTTACAGCGGTAAGCAATCTTTTCAAAATTTCACAACAGTCGAACTTTCATATCTCTAATTTTTTCCTTAAATTTGCTAAAAGTGAATGATGAAATTAGTATTTTTTCTTAGTCCCAAAAAATAAGAAAAACCTGATATAAAGTCAAAGTGTCCTTAAGTAAAAAAAAATCATATTTCGCTTCAACCGTTACCTTAAACTTGATTTTTTATGAGACAGGTGCTTGTTCCAGTTATGAAAGTTCGACTTAATTTCTGTTGTTTTCGTGTTATCTTAACTTCTGCTTAACATAACTCTCATCTCATTGCAATATGTTTCGGGCTATGGGCTTTACTCTAATAAATTTCATCTCCGCTCTGAGTTAAGATTTTTCCGTAGATGTTAGTTAGCATTTCCATAAGCCGAAGGGCATTTTCAAGTTCATATTTAGTGAGATTCTAGAAAACCTGTTCGCATTGCCAACTGCAAGTTATGTGCAATTTTCATTCTGTATATTATAAATGCACATTATAGGCATTGCAATAATATTAATTGACATCAATAATGCCAGACATTCTGCACACGACTTTCGAGGTAATTAACTGCCGACAAAAGGGATGATCATCTCTGTGAGAAAATCAATTAAATCGCAATAATGACATAGAATATTAGAAAATCCGTTTGAAAAGCGCCTGCCACTTTGTCTTCCAGGTTTTCCGCGAATTCCAAACACTCCGAACCGGTTTCAAAGATCGTTTTTGAGATCTGGCTAAGTTCCAATGGGTTCATGGAAAACCTTAAACTGTGATGGAAAAATTATCCAATGTTTGCCAACAGTTGCCTCAAACCAAAAGCGCTGATGAACGCGTTTAAAAAAAGGTTGATTGCTAACTGTCTGTCAAGCTTGGGAAAAAACATTTCCGAGAAATCGCAAAAGTTCTCAGGCAATCAAGTTTATGTGGGGTGGCTCCTAAGATCGGGTTTTTTATCGGCCAGACCCATTTTTGATTTGGGTAAGTTCGTTCTAAGACTTAAGAAACCCGGGCTTTAAAGAACGAAATATAATAAAAACATTTCTGAGTGGCAGTTTGCTGAGATTAGAGACATTATCAGAGATGTGTTATACAACTGCAGATTTATTTTTAAATTTTTTGTTTTTGTGTGCGTTGATAAAGTTGAAGACTTTTCAAGCATTCTTGTTTTTATTAGCTTCATATTTCGTAACTTTAAGAAATACTTGGTTATTATTCATTGTATTTTATAATTCGTTCTTTTCTTTCATTCTTCTGCTGATAAGTAAATCAAATCCAATCCGCCCCAAATTAACTTGAAAAGTCTTGAAATTATTTGGGCAACTGTCGCCTCAAATCAGCGGCCATTATTCATTCAGATATGGTGTTATCTTGAGGTTTGGGCTTAGAACTGATGGCAAGAGAAAATCTGCGCCTGCACAGATCAACGGGTATTATCCATTAAAATTCGTAGAGCTTAGCTGTTATTATCTTGAGGTTTGGGTCCTAACTCAACGCCACTTTAGAATCGATGGCGAGAGAAAAACTGCGCCTGCCCGGAAAACAGCTGTTCAAACTTTTCAAATACGCAAATGTAGTGCCGACTATGAAGCGAGAGGGAAATACAAACGAAACAAACACCGACCCACGAATATATACTCCGTTGTCTTGGCAATGTTGATGAACCGCAAACAATCCACTCTCACCTGTATCTTTCAGATAGTTTATATCAATATCGAAATATTGAAGCGACAAGAGGCCGAGTTGAAGGCAGCGAAAGCAGAGAGAGACTATAATGCCCTATTGGCATCCACGCAGGGAGCCGGATGTAAACATTCCCAGGTGTGAGAACAGAGTTCCAGGCAGAGTCCCAAAAAACAAAACAGACCCCCTAGTCTCCGTATCCCAAAAACCAAAATATCCCAAAACCAATTTCTGTGTCTGTGTGGTCATAATTTCTGAATCGAGACTAAAGTCTTGTCTTTTTTATTTCGCCATTTTTGCTACAGTACGAGGCCAAGGATTATGATGGTGTCATCAGAGAGCTTTTTACAGTAACCAATGAAACAGGAGTTGTCCTTTTTAATGTAAGTGTATCATGCACGTGGCAAGTGCATAGATCTTTTTAAAATTCGCCTTTGATGTGAATGTTTTTTGTGAACCGGGATTTTTAAAATTTATAATCAAGCAAAATGTTATAATTAATATTTATGGCAATATCAATCTGGTTGTAGCTCTAGATTAAAATGATTCACAGCTTCAAAGGCGAATTTGCGCTGCTTTCTTTTATATCCATACCCCTATATCATCCTATATTGCATCCCCATTTCATTGCTCATTCGATCTATGTTGTTGGTTTGTGTTGTCTTTGTGCTTTTTTTGATGCCAATTTTGGGTTAAAGACTAACACGAGCTAATTTCACCCGTACAGACAACGACCGCGGACAGTGCACCCTTCATGCCCATACCCACCAAGCGGGGCGATCCGCATTTGCCCCAGAATCAGAATCAGAATCAGAGACCGAATCAAAATCAATCCCCGAACCGCCATTACAATCAGTATCACAGCCTGAGCCAGCCAGATCAATACTTCAAAGTGCAGCGCTCCCCGGACGGCAAGCTGAATCTGGTCTTTAACGATACGTTCGTCTCTTTGCAGGAGTCGAACACCGAGGTGCAATCGGATCAGGCTAATCATCCCCCTCGCCGCCCAATGGACTGTAAGTAGTACCCTCTATATATATATAAGATAAGCTCGATTTTCAGTCACATTCGATACTCTTAAGGCGTTATGACATTTATTTTATCAAAGAATCCAGCATTTGTCATAACACCTTAACACACAGCTTTACAACTAACAACTAAATCGATCCCATACTCACTGGCCAACTGCCTTCGGCGCTTGCCTAATTTTAGCCTTTGTCTTTCCCGATTCCCCCCTAGTCGCTAATCGGTCGCAACAATCCCTGGTAAATGGGACAAATGAGCCCTGCAGCAATAGCAAGGATTCGTCCAAGACCTTCTGCACGGAAGTGGACGACTATCCGGACCTATCCAAGTTGAAGGCCAAGCTGGACAAGTTCGCCAAGTTCTTTGTGAGCGACTTTCTGCCCACGGACGTGAGCTCCCGCGTGGGGGATTATGACAAGGAAGAGAAGTTCCTCTGCAAGAGCACCAGGCGGCTAATGTATCCGAAAAAGGGACAAAAGACGGACAAAACCTGGCAGTTGATCGTGAATAACGATGAGTTCAAGCAGGGCATACAGATCGAGGAGTGCGAGTAAGTTGATGGCATCATCTATATAGAAAACAGAAATTTTAAAATTAAAAAACAAATATTAATTCGCTAATCCTTTATTTTTTCCTCAGCGGAGATGGAGTACCCTGTGAATATGCCAAAAACTTTCCGAATAATTATCAACCGATCTGCAAGCAGCACTATATGCAGCAGACCCTGGCCAGCATTGAGAATGAAGGCGAACTGGACGTGGTGCAGCAGACCTTCCTGATCCCTTCATGCTGCAAATGTGCAATAAGAGTGATAAACTGAATTTGCAGAATGGGGGTTCTCCAGTCGATGGCTGCGTAAATGTGATTTTGAGGTAAGACCACAATTTATTTGTACATGAAATTTGATAGGGGAAAACAACAAAGCAACAGATGACCAACTAGCGGGGGAAATGGAACAGATTCACTTGACCAACTTGCGAAGGGTCCAGCCGACGGCGTAGAATCCCACCAGCTTCAGGGCCATTCCTTTGCCTTCCGCCTTTACCAAACACTTAAACTTGTTCTCAAAATTGCCCACAGCGCGGTCCATTGGAATGCGTTAAAATCAACAGGCAATTGGTTATTTCACAAAATATATGCAAGATGCGAATTTTAGAAGAATACTTCTTAACCAATTCAAATAATATTCAAGAACGTGTATCCTGTGCTCGGAAGAGACCGATTTTTGTGACTATGACTGAAAGACAAACGTTTCACAACTTCTACTGACACTTTTACTATGACAACTAGATCATAAATATTTATAATTCTTATTTTTTGTATCTCTTCTCTTTGCAGCATCAGCATCATTCACCCACCACAGGATGGCAGGCCAAACTGTCCAGGGGTCGTTGATTTATTTTATAATCTGCACACAAAATACATTTGTAATCTGCTCTCGAATGCAGAATCCACTTAGACTAATGTGCATATTAATTTAGAATTTTAAATCGAGTCACTCTGTAACCATATTCGTGTCATATATTCGTTTTTGGCTTCCTCGTCTAAATGTCTAAGCTAGAAATGCATGCAACTAGTTTTAGTAAACACAAAAAAAAAACCACAACTATCTAAAAAATGTATGTTAAAGTGAAGATAATTATAATAAATGTATGCAAGTACATGCCAGCAAAGTAAAGTTCTTTGAACCCATCAGCGAGTACCTGGTGGACAATTTATTTGCTTATTAACAATAATTCGGTTCGCCCCGCTGAGCAAACCAATTACACCCTAGTGAGTGTAAACACATTCCCGCAGGAGGGTGGCTTTCAAAGGCATAAGGATAACATGCACCGCCTGCTTTTTGGTTTTGGAATATCCCTCTGACAGCGGGGCGTATGCGCGATGTGTCTTGAGGTCCTGCCCGTTGGCACATGTAGAAATCAATACTATTTATCGATTCCCCGAGACAATAAACTATGTCAAAGTTAGGGGCGAACAATGCGAATGCTTGTGGATTCCGATTCCGATTCCTTGTGGGCGGGCAAAGTGCCACCATTTAATTACTATTATTAGGCATCCAGTATCCGTCCCGTTTGGCCAAAAACCAGTGTCGTGTGCTGCCCTATTGGGCTTTCGGCCCAGGGTCATCAATCATGCACTTCCCCAATAGCCGCACACTCCCGAGTCCATATCAATTAGCAACTATCCCATATATCTTTCCCCGCGGATCGTATATATATATATTAATAGAGTTTGGGTTGCCCTTTGTAATGTACTTTTTCCTTTTTTTTCCTTACGCCCCTGGCTCCGGGGTCCGCGGATTGTGGTCACTTGGCGTCCCTTCGTGTTCGGTTCTGATTCACTATGAAAACAGATAGAACTTTTTAATCGAAGACTGCTTACCTTGGAATTGACGGGCATTTGTCATAAAGTAAGTGAAGAACTTGTGTTTAATAAAGAATTTCACATTTAATGTGACTCAACTGGTACTTAGATAGATTCCACGTTCTGCTACATCATTTAATGAAAGGTTTGTAAGAATACTAGTCAGATTCCACACGACAAAGGTGCACAAAATAAATACTTTTAGTACATAAACACAGTCGTAATTTCCCACATCTGTATAAAAGTTATGCCTGCATTTTTTATTTCATTAACTTTTTTTTGCTAGTTTAAGAGAAATGCTATTTAAAATTTTTAAATTCAAATTTTTAAAATGGTTTTTTTTTAAACTCTGTATTTTTAACTGCCATTTAAGTCAACTAAGAAAATAAATCTAGAAAAATTATTACTATAGTAAAATCGTGTCATGACTTTTTATTACAAACTTCGCTAGCACACTTTTTGATTGCTATACGATTTTGTAGAACCAATCGACCCGAACCCCAAGAGATACGATGAAACATACAACAATATGGACAACATGCAGGACAGTCAGACAGTGTCGGCGTTTTTCGGAGGGAATGGAATTGGGCGAGTGGGTCGCAGTCGCTGCTATGGTGGCTCGTAATTGCCGCAGCACATTTGCATGGCCGAAGGAGTTAATGGGGGTTGCCTGATTTGTTTTGTTGGTAGTATTATTGCTATTGCCAGCTATTCTGGCTGGCATATTGTTGTTATTCGGTTGCTGGCGCAGGTATATCGGGGTGCCATATAAATACGTTCTGTTGACGACGCCCGGGCTCCAATACGCCGGTAGTCGCTGCTTCAGACCAGTCGCAACTCACCCGCTGCACTGGCTCCACTTCGAGTCGATTTTTCCAGAGTTCTCCAGCTTTCGTTTTTGGCCCCTCACATAATGCCAAATTATGCAACTGCCGCCTGCTGTTGGCAGTAGGAGAAAAACAAAAAATAATAAAGTATTCCGTGTAATGAGCAAGCGATAAACTGTTTAACCGTTCCCCCTTTGGACCCAAAACTGTTCCCTGCGTCAGTCAGCAACATGTGGGCGCTGTGACGTGCATTCGGATGAGGCCTATACCCCAGTGACAGAACCAGCTCATTGTTATGCCCTGGAGTGCCTAGGAAAATCACCAGTACTTTGCGTAAAACTAGCAGAAAAATCACACGGAATATGCATTAATCTTCGGGGACTTTACTCAAATCGACTCATGCGATGGCAATGGAGGATCGCAATCGTATATGGACCACCGGCAACATTAATCATGGCTTCTTTGGGGATAATCTGCAGCAGCAGCCACTGCCACTTCAGAGATTGCAGACACCGGGTGAGTGGAAATTATAAATCAGAAGAAATTTTGATGTCATATACAAAAATAACAAACGGAAAATTCCATAGTTTATTGAGAAATTATTTTGACTGATTACTTAAATACAAAATTTTCAATTCATAGAATTGATATGTATATATTTTTTATATTGTCAGGTCTAACATAATTAAAATGCATTTCCGTCTTTTTAATTGCGAAAGAAAATTTCTCTGGGAATTCAAGCATAAGGCATGAGTTACCTTGAATATTTTTTTAATTATACCAAAGGTAGTAGTAATTGCAAAACCTTCAGTATTTTCCGACATTAAATTCCCAATGACAACAAGTTATATATATATAAATATAAAATCAAGACTTGTTTAAGACAAAACTGCTTTCAAATATGAATTCTAACTGCAGTTTTCAAAGAACGCAAATTAGCAAAATGTGCATTGAAGTTTTGGTTTTAATATATACATTTACCTGAAAATCTGTTTTAGGCTACATAAGTAAGCTTACAATTTCAACGTTTTAGTTCTTTATTGCATTGTAAGATGCATTCGTAATTGAATGAGTCATGTTCACGTACTTATTGGGTGTTCATATTAATATCTGGTATAATAAGGCAATTTGTGGTACCTGAATCCGGCCAATACACCATTTAAGTCGCTAACCGCAAAACCTCGAAGATCCGTATGGAATCGAACCGAGAAAGTTACTGGGCAGTTTTACAATGTGTGACGTGTTCTTTTTAATCTACCGGAACAAGCCATCGTAAAACGATCCGAAACTTTTATTTCTTAATGTGGTTAGCCATTTCAAGGCCCATTTCGGAGTTCCAATCATGGCGATTTCCTTATTTTCTCCCTCGTCTTTGGGTCGAAGGGTGATATTGTCCTCGTCATTGTCGTCATTCCCGGAAAAACCAATGCTGTTATCGTCCTTTTCTTCTGGCTCCACAGCATTTTCATTATCATTTTCGGGGAGCAAAGTCCCAGAAGCTCTTTTTGGTTTCCGGATCCTATTTTGCCTCACTGCAACCTTTTGGTTTTTCCGTTTAGCCATTTTTCTGAACGCCACAATACGATCATGCATAATGAAACCCACCACCATTAGAGCCACCACCATGAAAACCAAACAGTCAAGAACGCCCGACAGCATTTTGTAAGGTCTAGCGATCCTTTCCTCGAATGTGGCTGCCTCCTTGAAGATCTCGATGGTATTGTACACATCGTCAGCCATGCCAAAGATATTGGCCTCGATTTCGGAGGTATTGAATATCATTACGAATAAAGAACGAAACATTTTATGGTTTAAGGTTTTTGTAAAGTTTTTGAATTTAGTACATTTGACAAAAAAGTGCAAGCTAAATATACAATTTCTTTAAAGATATATTAACTATAAATATAAATATACAATTAATGTAAAATATTATAAAAATTCCCTTAATGATTTGAAAGAAGTAAATAACTGAAATTAGATGTTTGCCCAAAAAAGTTCTTACTGTCCGTATTTCGCATGCAAATTTGAGATCACGTCGTGCGGTTTAATGGGCTTTGATTTTTTAAAATGGGTTAAACTGCTGCCGGACACGCGAAATGTTTTGGGGCCATTGAACCGGACGTTGTCACCAGTTTCTAACGCTCGTTGTCTGTGGCTATTTAAATATATGGCCAATGGCCATGCAGTTCCGCATTCGCAGGACGTTTCCAGTCCAGTGACAGGTGTATGCATTAGCCAGGCGATTAGGGACACCCAGTGGAATGGGGTCTCACTTGTCCAATGACGACAGAGACAGGGACAGCGAATTGCGCCAGATCAAGATAAGATGGTATGCACGAACAACGATGAATTGCGGTGGGTGGGTGGTGGTGGTGTTGTTGGCGAGACAAACAAAATTGACAACATTTGACTAATTAGTGTTAATAAAACGTGTTCCTCTGTCTCTATTTCGATTGAAATCCATTTCTCAAATGCCCGGCCAGAGGCCAATTAGTACCCAGTCTTTTGGCGTTGTAGTCAAAGATGGTTAAAAACCAATTACAGGTAACCTCAGCCTTCTTTCGGCACCGATTCGAGCCAATGGCAGTGGCCATGGAAATGGTAACGCCACTGCCAATGGAAATGGACATGGAAATGGTCAGAGTTCGGCGACGGAGAGTGCAAATGGAAAACAGCTGCCCTACGAGCCCATCTCCCCCAATCTAATTGGCATTCAATCCAAGTGAGCACCATTAATGTTCCTATTGTCTTACGTTCTAAGGATCGGTTATTTCAGGTTTCGTCGGAGTTACTACCACAAAGTGGTTCTAGGTGGACTCTTGGCTCTGGTAATCATTCTGCTGATAGCAATCATAGTCGTAAGCGTAGGCCGTGAGTACCCAAATATAAAATCATATTTTCTTCTAGGTATTTAAATTATTATAATTTAATTTATAATTTAATTATATTATTCTTCATCCCAAAAATTATTGCTTTATAGATATAGAATGTTAAACTTACTTTTTCTCTATATTCCAGTTAAGAAAACCAGCTCGATTTGCCGGAGCAAGGAGTGCATCCGCACAGCGGCCAGCCTCATATATGCGATGGACGAGCAGACTGATCCCTGCGAGGACTTCTACCAATTCACCTGCGGCAGGTGGGCCAACGAGCATCCGCGACCGGATTCGGTGACCTCGAACGATTGGTTCCGGGAGCGACAGGCGCACATAATGCGGGTGGTGCGTGAGTTTCTCCGCTCGAATATCACCAAAACGGAACCGGAAGCGGTCGGCAAGGCGAAGACAATGTATAGAGCCTGTATGGATACGAAGTTACTAGACACGCGGGATCTGGAGCCCCTAGTTGGTTACCTACTCCGCTTCGGGTTGCCCATCCTGCCCTCCGCCTTAAATCTCACCCTGGGGAGTGGTTCCAAATATTCCGCGGAGGCATCTAACATCAGCTACAATTGGCTGCAGTCCATTGTGGCCATCAAACAACATCTGAGTATGGACCTAATCATAGGATTCGATGTATTTCCGGATCCCTTTAATCGCACCATCAATCGCATTGCTTTGGGAACTCCAGAGACTGACTCGGCATTTCCTTTGTGAGTGGACTGTGAATTAAATATCTTTTAAGCTAAGTTATATCTGATTTTTTTTTAGCAACAACGATGACTCGCACAAGTTGCTGCGTAAGATTCATAGGAAAACCATTTTCATGCAAAACAGCGACGATGAGGACGACAGTGAGGAGGATCGGGAAAGCGAGGAGGAGGAGGCAGCCAAGCAAACGAGCACGGGAATGTCGGCCTATCTCCACTACGTTCGAAAAGTCATCGAAAAGTATCTGCTATATGTGGATCCGAATGTAAACCAGGATGAGGCCACTCTGGGCATCACCGAGTTGGTGAAACAGGGCGTTAAGGTAGCCAGAAAGGTGCATCAGGTGGGTATAAAAATATCTAATATTGTCTTTAAAAATTGTAATTTAATGTAATTTAAATATTCCCAGTTGAAAGAGGATGCTGAAAACATGACCAAGCCATCGAAAAACCCGGCAGATGACATTATCTACATTTCCCTGACGGATCTGCAGAATCAAACTGATAAAAATATTGCCCCCAAGACGCTGCCCATTTGGGTTCGCTATATGGAACTGATCCTAAAGGGAACCCGTCATGCGGCTAACACCCAAATGACTCGGAATTTGACCATAATAACCAGTCAGGCGGATATAATGTATCTCCAAAATGTGGTGGAGTATCTGGAGGAGACGCCAGCCTCCCATATCGAATCCTATCTTTTTCTGAGTACCATCGAGGAGCTGGTGCTGCACACGTCGAGTTCGATGCGGTTGCTCCATTCGGAATACATGAGGGTGGCCATTGGAACGGAGGGCAGCACACCGAGATCCTTGTACTGCGCCAATGGAGTGAATAGTCTGTTTGGAATGGCAGTGAGTTATGTCCTGGCGGATGAGGAATTCACCAGGGATAAGTTGCCCAAAGTTGAGCGGATGCTAAGCGATATACGACGATCCTTTGATCGCCTGGTGAAGTCCACTTCATGGATGGATGCTGCCACCAAGAGAAAGACCATCCAAAAATCTGCCGAGATGAAGAGCTTCATTGGTTATCCCTCTTGGCTGCGAAATGCCACCGTCTTGAATAAGTATTACGAGGGTGCGGAGGTGAATGTGAGCACCCACCTGGAGAACCTCATGGACTTTGTCCATTGGCAGATGCTGGACAAACTGAACGAAATGGATAAGCCAGAGCCCATTGGCTGGGCGACTTCGCCTTCGAATGTGAATGCCTTTCACACATTTCAATCGAATGCAATCAGTAAGTGCACTTTGAGAAAAATCAGAATAATGTTTAAAAAATTTGTAAATGTAAAATACTTTTATTCAATATTTTTTTTTTATTTAAACGATTAGTTAACATTTTGTGAAGATTTATGTTTAAAATTGTTTCAAAACCATAGTTGTTTTTCTTAATTTTCCAAAGAACATTTTAAAGTCCATCCATTTCTTTCATAGTTTTTAAATTGTGTTTGAAATTCAATACTCTGATTGGGAATTTAACGTCCTACTAAACTTAATTGTGATTTTTATGAGAATAGACAACATTTACGTGTGGAGTCCCTAATCCCGACACTATCTTCTTTTGCAGCTGTGCCCATTGCCATATTGCAATACCCTTTTTACGACCTTGGTCTAGAGTAAGTCCGTCCAGGAACACCGCACTGAATACTGAGTACCGAGTACCGAGCACTGAACACTGAGCACACAGATAGCCGGGCAAACAGAGTCCCAGTCACGTTTCCCGCACCCGCAACCATGCACCTTGCACTAATCCCTTCCCGGAATGGCCCTAACCCCACTATGTTGGTCTGTGTTCCCTGGCAGGGCGCTCAATTATGGCTCAATTGGCACCATCCTGGGCCACGAACTCACCCACGGATTCGACGACAGCGGCAGGCGATTCGATCGGGCAGGGAACATGGTCGAGTGGTGGTCCAACAAGACCATCGACGAGTATGTCAATCGCACCGAATGCTTTGTGGAGCAGTACAGTCGCTACCACCTGGCGGACATTGATGAATATGTGAGTACTGCGAAAAAGTGGAGCATATATAAGTACATTAGAATCTGCGTACAAAATTTAAGGACTTACACACTTTAGTTTTACCTCTGCAACTCGAAATTCATTACATTATATAAATATATTCCTCCAAAACATTTTTATAAATTGAAATTTTTACTGTTGACACTTGTTGAAACTTAAATCGAATAAAAAAGTATTTTTTTAGCTTTAAACATTTTTTGACCGTAAAATATTTGTTTTTTAGCTTAGTTCTCTTAGAAATGTTATAAATTTAAAATACTTTATATTATTTATTTTCAATAATTTGTATTAATTTTTCTGTATTGTATTTTGTATTTTTATTGAGTTTACAATTTTTTAAATATTTACCATTATTTCCTTTAAGATTGATGGCGAATTGACGCTGGGCGAGAATATCGCTGATAATGGGGGAATGCGAGAGGCCTTTTACGCATACCGCCTCTATGTGAAGGAAGTGGGTCGCGAGAAGTCCAAATTGCCGGGATTGGAGCACTATTCCCACGAGCAGCTCTTCTTCATATCATTTGGAAATCTGTGGTGCGAGACCTACACGCCGGCAGCATCGCGATACGCCCTCAGTGATTCCCATTGTCCAGGACAAATGCGTTTGAGAGGAGTTCTTTCGAACTCTGAAGAATTCGCCAGGACCTTTAAGTGCGCCCGAGGATCCCCAATGAATCCCAACCAGCCCAAGTGCCGCATTTGGTAATGGATATTTGTATGTGCTCAACAAACAAGCAATTGAAAACAGGAACAGTCAAGTGATTTTTCTACCCATTTGTACTTAAGTTAGCCATAGATTTAGATCAATTATACAGGTGTCTTTTGCACGTTTTCGGATGGTGGTGCAATAAATATAAATGGTAAACGCTTCTCGATCGAAACCCCTCCGAGCTCACAGCTCAATTGTAGGCTACTTTTTAAGTGTAAAAGTAAAAAAATTCAAATTACCATGGCATAATTCTGGGCTTTATTTAAACTTACTTTGTACGATCAAAACATTTGCATGTGAATATATTTGTATATACTTTCAATTGATTACCTTTAATATACATTCAGTAAAATTACATTGAGTTGACACTTACAATACAGGTAAAACACGCCGACTTTCACACACTCACACATATACACTCAGCAGACTTGGGTGTCTGTGGGAGATTCGATCTTTGGTTGATTCTGTTTTTGTTGTTATTGCACTCAGAACTCAGTGCACTTTCCGTTCGCATTAATTTCACCTGAGCTTCCCGCTCGCCGGACAGGTGATTCACTTTTTGCCGAGGCAGCTACCGCAACGCTGACGTCTCGGCACATGAAAATTGGTTCTAATTTAAAGTGAAAAATAATGGAAATAAAAAGGAAGATCAGAGGTAAGTATATATATTAAGAGACAATTACAAGATACAAGAATGCTTAAAATTCCGTTGCAATGGACTGGTTTTATAATTTGGGTTATACGTTTTAAATTATCAAAATTAAAAGGCAAATTTAAAAATATATTTGTAAAGCAGATGTAATGAGAATTACTTTAAAGTGAAATCCTGTTTCATATCTTAAATATCCATTCCCTCTTCAGTCATACGAATCTGACCTATATAGGTTTCTCCACTTACCACTTGCATAGAATTCGCTCGTGGCTTTCGACGGGTGCTTATGTACGTGGTGGACGTGTTCATACGATTGAGGTGGAATGCTGTGGCCGTTCCTTCAGTTCCACCGGTGGTGCGTGAAAACAAGAACAAGAAAATGTTAGAAAAGTTTTCAAGAACTAATGCGAATTAACAGGAAAATGCTGTCGGTGCAATTCATGCGGTAAAGTGTCTGCGTGCTTACTGAACTGGCATGCAATGCTATGAAAGAGAAACGAAACTACAATTACTAAGGAGTACGAATACTAGACTCCAGATCCAGGAGCAACAGGCCTCCTTCTACACACTCAGAGATCGAAAATCGAAACATTACGGATAACGGATATACTAAATGGAGAGGGGTAGCACCTAATGCGTATCTTAGGTTTCCTGACTAGGGCATCGCCGACTTGGCGATGGTACTTGATGTTAGGCATCTCACCGGTAGCTTCGTAGCTGCGTTCGCCGCCGCTGCGCAAATAGCGGTTCAGGCAGCAGCAGCGACGCAGGCCCGGCACACGGTGCATTATCTGCAGGAATCCGCCCCTGAAGCGGGCGTTCATGTAGCAGTAGATGATCGGGTTGTAGCAGCTGTGCGACATGGCCAGCCAGTGGAACGCGAACCACACGTACGGCAGTGGCACCCAATGGGCGAATTCCTCGTCGTTCAGCAAAAGCTAAGGGAAATAAATAGAGGTCAGTTTAGAAAAACACAAAGAAAAACATAAATATACAACGATTTAGGTACAAAGCCAAATTAAAATATTTTTTAAAGACTTTCATAAAGACCATTAAACATTTTTTTCTTTTGTATAAAATTCTATATTTTTATTAACGATTTCGGATTTTTAAAGTTTTATTTAGAATTAGTCTCCCTGTTGGAATTGCTTTCTACCTTTTTTTTATATATTTGTTTTATTTTATACTTAATAATTTATTTGTATTATATTTAGACCAAACTTAAACATTTTAAGCTGTAATTTAAATAAAAAAATTCTAATTATACAGAAAACGTATCATTACAGACTCATAAAATCTTTTTAACCCACCTGCAAAATATTGAAGGGCAGCCAGCAGCTGGTAAACACAATCACAACCGTAAGCATCATCTTAATCATCTGCAAAGGAAAGAGAAGAGAATGGATGCTTGATTAAGGACACTAAAACTCAGATTCTATTTATAGGACTGCGGTCGTGCACCTAGGGAAAAATTCCTTAGCCTTAAGTTTCACTTTACGACCTTGACCGCCCACGCATGTGGCGAAATTTCTTCGTATCGCAGACCGTCGGGCCGTAAAAGTACCAAACATTAAACTGGGCCAACGAGTTCAAGTTTATTTATATCAGGAGGCAATGACTTGCTTTTATGGCCTCTTCTAACTAATTTTTATCTTCATCTTTAAGTCTGAGTACTGTGGTTCTCTTGGATGCTGGGCAAGTAATTATGAACTGGGACCAAAATAAGTCTATGATATTGGCCTACTTTTAGGCTGCGCAGTAAATGTTTAACATTTCCCCTTTCTCAACAGAAAAATGGAAAAGTTTACTTTTCTTTACTTACACGCGAGGTGCCTATAAAATTTTCTCACCTCACCGTTTGGAAATATTTTTTTTATTTCCGTTGGCATTTGACACGTAAAGGTTAAGCGGAAAATCCATAAGTTAAGTTTTCCTATTTTTCCTGCTTAGTTACTTATATAATTTCACTAAGTGATTCGCAGGGCTTTAATATCGCAAGGGCTATAAAAAGTTGCCCAATTCCGGTGAGTTTGGATTGCTTTTTTTTGGCCAGAAGATACAATCGACCTGGGTCAGAATGGCGAATATGACGGCATAGTTTACTTTAACGATGAACTCGGTGGCCACGTCTCTTCAACGTGACCACCTGAAAAAATAATAGACATAAAGGTTTACGGCCTAAAACAAAGCCACGATAAAGATGTTAAGCTCAGTTTACACATCTCAAGTCCTACACTCAAGAAATATAAATAAATATCTTGCAAAAAAAATAATTTAAATACACATATTTAGTAAGTTAATAAAAATATTTTCAAAAGGTCAAAAGAAAAACTTAATTTATTTTTAAAAATGTTAAAAATTAACACAATTATCTTTAAGGAAAATTTGAAAATATTTTTTAGTGTGTAGAAGAATTGATATCATCTTCAAAGTCCATTTACCAGCCAGACAGATGAAATCCAGCAGTCGATGATGCAAAGGGGCAATAAGCTGCCAATAAACGAAGCATATGAGAAATCAGAATTGAATTCTATAGACAAACGGACGATCAGGTTTATAAATTGAATCATATTTGCATGCAAATATAATGGCATAATCGCGGGGAATCTTGCTCAATGGCGGGAGTTTATGAATAGATTCGATGGCCGTTGGGATGCGAAAATCTGTTTGTCGACTATTTTCCGAAGTCAGCTGGGTGCATCTGGCGACAGTTCTCCGTTTGGCAAGCTGGCAATTGCTTTTTATGAACTCGCCAAGTCGTTTTATTGGCCGCCTTGGTTGCTCGTCGGTGGTTCTTCCATTTCAGCTGCAGTTTCCAGTTCCCGTTCCAGTTGCCAGTTACTGGGCAAAGTTAACGAGTGCTCGACGGGGCCATTTGATTCGTTTTAATGCCTCGTTAGTTGGCCGTCCAGCCGGGGAGTGTTAACAATGTCAACATTAAGTATACGCCGCGTTGTGCGTTGTGTCAAAGCATCAACACGAGGAGCAAACAGAGTGAAGGCAAGCAAGCTCGTAATGAATGTTTATACAAATATGTGCATGGTGTCTGTTTTTTTTTTGCTGTTCCCCTGACTTCTGGACACGAGTCTCCGCCATCGGTGACCTTTGGCCCGAGCATGTGTCCGCCGACTGATGAACTTTGCCCCAACTTTCCCCACGCCCACACACGAAAAAAATATATAACCAAATTAAAAATTTAATTTGGCAAATATTTTAATAAGAAGTTAAAACTTTACGGTCTACACCTTTAAATTTAATTAAATGTTGTGTGAGGTGCAAAATGTTATGGGTTATTTCAAAAGTTAGTAGTAGTAGTAGTTAGATGAAACAAAATATTGAAAAACTTTAAGGACAAAGCAAATAATTTTGTATATAATTGGAACACAAAATGTGCATAAGTTTGAAAAAAATAATAATATTAAAATAATAATTTAAATTAAGTTTTGTTCTTTTTTTAATGTTTGTAAATTTGCTATTTATTTTTGGAACATAAAATATTTAAAATTTACGTATTTAAATATATATTTATACGTTACCAAAAATATTAAAAATACCAAAAATGGTATTTCTTATTGTGTAGGGGACTTATCCTTATATTTTCACAGTGCATTTGGCGATTGTGGGTGAAAAATGCAACATCATCTGTCGTTAAGAGGAGTCGTGGTGCCTCGGTGCCAAATGAAGTGTCGACTCTCTTACCATATGTCATATATACATGTGTGCCGGATAGAGTTTCTTTGCCCGCGGCTCTAGTTTCATCTTTATTTTGGCAGTTTGTTTTGGCCACCTCCGTTGTGACAGTTCCACGACTTAATTGCCGGCTGCGGAGGCTGCCGGTATTAGCTGCAATCACATGGCACTTGGTTTTTTTTTCGGTGATTTGTTTTGGTTTTGAACCGGTTGGCGGTTATGGCTGAGTTCGCCCATTAAAAAGCTAAAGCCGCGTCTGGGCTTACATAAAAAATGAGCTCATGTTCGAGGCTCAGTACATGGGTTTTGTAATTCATCAAAATAATTTCTGACTCACACCCACAAAATCCAAAGGAGGGGCGGCATTAGGAACTGGGCCATCAAAGTCTTAGACTGACAAATGAGCTTGGATCCGCTCAGTCCGCTTCAATGAGGCCGAAAGTGAGGGCTCCGATTCGATTGAAATAGAAAGGCTGCTCCGTAATGAGGTGCAAAGCGTTCTCCATCCCAGTGCCTTTCCCCCAAGAAATAAACTAATTAAATTTCCCAACACGTCCGTTCAAGGCAAATGGCTCGTAGTTAAAGGACCAGCTCCTTGGCCTTTAGTTTGTTTAATTAATGGGGGAGGCGTCTGGCCAGTTGATTGCTTTTTAAGTGCAGGGAATTTGTTTTAATGGCGGAATTATCGACACCAGGAAGCTGATAAAGAATTTTGTACTAATGTTATGTTTTGTAGCTTACAAAATAATTATTAAAAAACTTTTACTATTATCTCATGCGTGTTTATTTTGCGTTTCCCCGGATTTATTTTATTTCCGTTACTTACTAAAGTTTTTCCCCAGTAATAAAAAGAGCACTTAAATAATCACACAAAAAAGGCGCGGTAATCGCATTAACAGGTTTGATTGCAGTTCGTTTGGGCGAGATCCGTAATTTTTATCATTTAGCTTAATGCCATTGAAAGCGAATGGTGAGTAAACAAACACACAGTTCGCAGAAAATTGAAAGCAAAATGTCATTCACAATTCGGCACACTGAAAGTCTTTCCTTTTTTTGCGTGGGAGTTGCAAACTGGTTATCTAAAAAAAGGCAAAAATAAATGGCTAATAACAGCGACTGGGAAACTGGATCAATCAGAGGGCCAAGCTCTGCAATTCCGAAGCTTACAACCATTTATCAATCCATTTCACTTATCGATTAGCTCGTGCCCCAAGTTATCTTGGCCAATTCCCGGTAATAACAACTGACCCCTGGGCACCCGCATGTCTTGGGGTCTCTGGTAATTGAACCCGCTTTTAATTGCCAAACAATTGCGAAAGTGCCAGGGAAAAAATAAGAGAAGCAAAACTGGTAATATTTTTGGTAATTTAAAAGCCACAGCCCGAAACTCACTTAAATTGTTATCCATGAAATGCCAAAAATCAAACGGTCATTAAACAATTCGCTCGGCGGTCAGCCAAACTAATCAGCAACTAATTTACACAGCAATTTATGGCAAAAGTTTGCGGTAAAATAAGTGTACTGTTGCTTTATAAAGTTTCGATTTACTTTTGAATTGAATTTGATTGAATTTTCTTAAGGCAAATTTAAAGTAAATTTTTATTAATCAAATAACAAGACTTTGAAATCCGTTTTAAGGATCTCCTTAGAATTAATCAGGGATAAATTTACTCTTCCCATAATTTAATAATTTAAAAATATTTTTAAATCGACCATGTCAAAGTGCTCTTCAAAATTAAAGCTCTATTTTTGCGATTTCCTAGGCTTGCAAACAGAAATGAAGTGAGTGAAATAACTAAATGACTACCACAAAGCATCGTAAAAATCCAAAAGTCATAAAAAATAATCAAATAAACTGAGAAAAGCGAAACACGAAAAGGGAGGAGTGCAAATGGACTTTTTGTTCGCTGCAATTAAGGGCTATGAATTTTATAGTCCTGAGAACAAAGCGTCGACGGACACTGACCGCCAAAAAGCTGAAGCAACCAGTTTCAAGGGAATTTTTCCTTTCAGAATTTGAGTGTTACATTTCCCCGAGCTTTTGAGTAAGCCATATTGGGCGATAAAAGCGAGTAAAGTTAAGGCCAAGAATGTTTTGACGGGTTTCTGACGGATACTCCACTTGGTGCTCTTCAAGTTTCTGCCTACGTGAGCCGACTTTTACTTTAACGACCTACATACATACATTATAATTAACTCAAACGCCCTCGTTGAGTAGAGGGGCGTGCCAGGAAGTGAGTGGCTAAGGAATACGCACAATTAATTAAAGCACCCAAAGTGTCATAAACCTTTCGCGGCTGTCAATTAAACGCGGAAAGCGCGGAAACCGAAAGTGCGACCCTTAAAACCGCCCAATTGCTGTCTCTTTTTTTTCGCCGTTGACCTCTCGGAAATGTGGCGGCTGCGATTTATTGTGGGCGTGACACTGGCGGGAAAAACACTCACGAAAAAAAGGAAAACAAGACGCCCACCGAGCAAAAAATAAAGGTCATAAAATTGTTCCGCTTATGCCACAGCATACATATATATTTGTCGTGGACAAGAGTAGTAAACAGGGGTCTTCGGTTATGATAAAAGAATTTACTCCTCGGTGTCCGCGACACGAATCCCTCCTTGTTTGCCTTGCGTTCCCCAACAAATTGAATTTTAAACATTTTTTTTTCCCCCATAAATTTCGTTTACTTCCTCT